ATGTTCATGAACCTAAACAGGTAATAAGAAAAATGTACACAAAATTCAGTGTTTTTTAAAGGTGTACAGGCTTTTAATAATTTGCCTGAGGATATTAAATGTTCTTCAAATGTGGCAATATTTAAAATAAAACTGCGTGAATACCTGTTCACCTATTGACGTTTTTTTTTCTCTTTCTTGTTCTTTTATTGTTTTGTATAGTTGACATGTAAGTGTACTATATCTTATGTATTTTTTATTGCATTTTAAATGTATGTTGATTCTATATTTATGTATTTTTTATATTTTAAACGTGAAGATGTATTGACATGTAAAAAATAGTTTTTTTGACTAAATAAACGTTTTATATATAGTTATGTGGATAAAAAAACGCTCGAGATGAAAAAAATGCATCTGATGTGGATTCTCAAACACAACAATAAGTATAAAATAAATAAGTAGAGTACTAACTTTCCTTCTCGAAAAGAAGTCCAACATATATTATTAGTCTGCTTCTTCTTCTTCTACGATACAGCTTTGCAACCCCAAATGTCATGAAACAGAAAATACACAGTATAAGTATAAAATAAATGAGTAGATTACTAACTTTCCTTCTCGAAAAGAAGTCCAACATATATTATTAGTCTGCTTCTTCTTCGAACCTTTACTTGAAGTAGAAGGTGTTTGATCAACATATTCAATTTCTACGTTATTTGAGGAAAGTCCATCCGCTACTCTTCCAGGAACTGCTGGTAGGAATAGCGTTGGAAATGCTTCAGGTGTTAGACCTCGACGAGAGCCAACTACTTTATACTTCTCTTCAAAATGTTTATGACATACTACAAAGGTGGAATAAATTTGTAGTCTTGTTTTATTATTAAATCTTGGACAACGAACAGCAAGTGCACAAATATCAAATAAATCGGGTGAATTCGTAGGGTGAGGCAGGCGATGCATCTTGTTGTCCACAACAAGGCAATTCGGTACACATTTTCTATAATTACGCATCTTTATGAAAAACCACAAAATAACAGCGGAAAAAGCACAAATTTATAATGGAAAAACAAGCTTATTAACAGTGGTCAACTAAATCAATTAAGCAAATTGGAAATGAAAACAACTGAATACAACAGTCACCAATATAAATAAACAAAGTTTACGTTTGGTTTAAGCCAAGACGCCATGACACCCCCACAAAAATCAATATTCACCTGTCATTTACACTCCCACCACCTACCCCACCACCCGACTGCAGCGCCACGCGGACGTGGTTGATTGATCCCAGGCCTGCGCATACCAGTTTCCCACCCCTGGCACAGCCGACGTTTCACTCAAGCCGGCTCCGTTCAATGCTGCGGATCACGTGCTGCAGGAAAACGGTCCGATTTAAACCATACAAGACCAGTGTTGGCTGTGTTACCTCTGCATCGTATGCAGTGCGAGATACGCAGATAGGAAAACGTAGCTTAACTTTTTTATTTTTTTATACTTCATTGAATCAAGTTGAATATTTTATAGGCCAGAAATACCAATAATCAATGGACCATTAACTATAACCAGCCTGTTTATAAATGATTGTGAAAATATATACTGTTGTAAAAATAAAATACGTATCGTCGTAAAATTTAAATAAAACAAAAATAAAATACGGATCCTCGAATATAATAAGATAAATTGCATAATGTTTTGCATACATCTCGGGTTTAATTTGATTAAAAAAAGTTTAAATACCGTGCCTCAAATTTAAATGTAGTTTATTGAGATTCGGCCGCAGACATTTTTTTTTCTATTTTCGTTTATTGGCTATGAACGTTAGTCCTTCAGCCACACACAAATTGAAAGGAGTGAAGTGTATCTAATAAATGTTTATATTATTTTTACTTATATAATCAACTAATAGATCGTAAACTGATCAATCTCCAGTCACAAACAATCCCTTAACGCACGTTGGAAACTGAACGCCTGCTTTTATAAGACCAGTCATTTTAAGAGGGTTTAAGGTACCATTTCGGTAGGCGCGACAGACGACCGAGAATGGTCTCTTCACGACTGGAACACATGCAATTATATGAAACACATTTCGCACGGTGCGACACTTCCGAGAGACAGATCTCGACGACAGGAGTATCGGAGTATCGTTTGCTGTCTGTCTCCCTTAGTCATCGCTTGTATTTGGAGGCGATTAGTCAATATTTTATAGAAATGGTAGTTTCCTTTCGATCTAAGCAGTGTTGCCAGATGAACATTGGCTGAAACAGCATGGGTAAAAAACACAACTGTAGATCTGAACAGTAATTTAAATACAGGGGGAAATAATTATAATTTGTAGTGTAGTAAATAAAAAAAAACAAGTATATAAGAAACGAAAAATAAACTCTACTACCCAAATTAGAAAGTAAACAAAGAATAAAAACAAATAATAACATTTTTAATATATACTTAACGTGCGGAAACAAAAAAGAAACCAATGAAAAATAATAGGTATTTCTTTTAGATCAGTTTGAATCAGATAATTCAAATGCGTTGTGTTTGGCATGCATGTTCTTTTTATGATGCCCTATTAATTCTTTGTTGCATTTTAAATAAAAACAATGATATCTTGAGGTTTTTTTTTTATGGAGCCAACCTACAGTAGTGGATGTTTATTACGCTGATTTTACTTCAGCAAATTTACTAGAGAAAATATTCTTTGGCCATTTGCTGAAGAATGAGGCAAACTTAATAAATTAAAAATAAAATTTGTTAAGTTGGCGAAAACAGTAGATTTCATGCCTAAAACAGGAGAACAGAGACACCCATGATGGTGGGTGAGGTTTTCCGGGTTTTCCTCACCTGTAAGTCAAATGGCACCATCAATCATCTTTAAGTCGCCCCGGAGCGCCACGGCAAATAATAATAATAGCCGTCCCTTTCCCCGGACAAGCTCAGCTTTTGGGGTTAAAATTCACTCGTAAGGGGGTGAATTAGGGAGAGTATTATTATTATTATTATTATTATTATAAAAACAGTGGATCTACTTAAAAATAGTAGGTCTGGCAACGCTGATTGTTCCCTCGAATGGTTGTCTGCGGGTGTCGCGTCACCTGTCTCCTTGCTTCCCAAATGTACGGAGCGTAACATTATTGCATCTGTCGTCCTTGCGGTCGTCTCTGTTGTCTCCTGTCGCGTTTATCGAAATGGTACCTTTATAGGTACTTATCTGAAACCATAAATCAATATATAAAGACAATTTTCGCTTCAGTACAGGTGCGGAGTCGTATCTTTATATTATTTTTGTACCTTAGCTTTATTATCAGTAATTGCTTGATAATGCATAATTATTACTAAGAAAACCAAATTATGGTAGATTTCCTTCGAAATGTTCAAAAAATGATTTTAGACATTATTGTTATTAATTAGGTAAATAAATAATCCGTTAATTCTACTTCTATTAATAATATTAAATTCGAAGTACGATCCTGTAAACCACCTTGAATCGAATCGGGTAGATGGTGGTTTTACGGTATTCGGGTGTTTAACACAACGTTGCCACATTAGGTATACCTCTATATATATTCGGGGTAGTTTTTTCAGCCGAATTTCGTGACGACTATACCTCTGAGACAAATTATTATAGTGTTAAGTAACAATTATGTATTTTAAACATATTTTTTGCATAATTTTTGTGAAGAAATTATTCGTTTAATATATGGCAACTCTGTTACACATTTCTGAAATGTTTTAACTGTCTACAATTAACGTATTATAGTATTGCAAGCAGGGCCGCCAAGAGCCAGGTCGGGCCCCGGGACAATTTTCCAGGTCGGGCCCCGCGACAATTTTATAAAAAAAATTAAGTCCTTTTCAATATCACATTTCTAAATGAAAGAAAAAAATTCAAACAAAAACTTCTCCTCTTTAGTGCAATCTCAAAAAAAAAGTCCTCTCTCTTGTGCTCTTGTGGCGAACTTCTAAAAAAAATAAAAGCGTCGTCACCTAAAGCTGCCGTGAAATCGGCGCCCAGTTATTTCTGCCAAAGGAGAAGCCTGCTTGACAACATTGTAGATGGCTTTCTCAAAGTTAATAACATTTGAAATTCTTAATGTAATACCATTATCATTACAAATGTTTATTATCGAGTTAAATACTTTTATAAGTTTCTGTGTGATTATCAGGTAACATTGGAAAATTTATAGATTGCGCACAGTAATTAAACTGTGCCTTTTAAATAAATTTGAGTAATTTTTTCTAACTTCTGAATATTAGATTTACACGAAAATACTGTTCAATTATGCTGTTGATAAGTAAAAACTGCTCACGTCTATGGGTTTGGATGTTTGCATCGTCTCCAGAAAGTCATATATTTCCGCGATATTCTTCGGCAAACCCTGCTAGATTTTTCTGCGGGCCTTATGAACATTCTTTTAAAGCAAGTAATATCATATGTCTTGAAGTAACCTACGAATAAGCTTACGTTTTTGATTTGTCGGATAAGTTTTCTATAGCTTTTCGTTTGCAGGAAAAATTAACGATTTCGCAGTTTAATTTCTCTACATTTGCATCATGACAATGTTCTCGTGTATGTTTTGTTATTGTTATTCTATTTTCACCTTCGCCCAAAGTAAGGCATATTTGTGCAAATCTATCTCTTCTCGTCATTTTTCAGTAATTTGAAAACCTTATTATAGTTATCTAAAATTAATTACTATTTTCCTTGTTCAGTAATAATTATTTCGGGATTTATTATAGAAATCTGGGAACTAATTTACCGACACCTTTAACAATAAGGGTTTTAAAATTAACGTACAGAAATTTAAAATACATTAAGACGCCAATAAGATTACATTATTACGAGAATTAATAAGGCAGGTAGTATACCTAATTGTAGGGGATTCTAATTGTCTTAATTTCATCAATACTAATTTTAGTAGAGCAGTTCAATGACGTATAAAAATTTGTGACCTTTTGTTATTACTTGATGTGGATTTCCGTCTAGTAAAAGCCGAAATAATAAAGAATTTATTATTTAACTTGTTTCGTAGGTTTTCTATCGAATTGGACAAATCGCGGGAATTAGAAATCAGTATCTATTGGAGAGATTGGAGATCGTTGTGCGCCGTAAAATTTTTGAAATTAGAAGACTTCATAGACAACGAACGGCATGGCATGGCCCTGCATTTAGAACCGCAGGGCCTACTTTTCGCAGAGGTAAGTACACAAAATTCTACATTGACGTGCTTATTTTTTTAAATATTGTTTTTTGCTTTTCTGTATTAATCGCTAAGGAAAATATAAGAGAAAAACGACAAATTTTAAACTCATGCTTTAATCCATTTTGCAGTGAGCTGATTAGATTTTGGGCATAGTGAGATTAGAGAAGAAAATTCTTTGATTAAGAATTGTTTGTGATATATTCTATAATTTTTGTCATTTACATTATTTTTCTACAATGAAAAAATTTGAGGAAAAAATTAAAATTTTAATTTTCGGTATTTTCTTTATAAAAAAGTGTTTCGTGTGTGAGAACATATTTTATCTCAATATATTTGATTACTTTACTGGAAAAGTCATATGTTGGGCACATCAGATATTTTCTTTATACATCATCAGTTTAACTCTTTTCTAATCCATCCAGTTTTTCGCTATTTTCCTCTGGTTTTGTCGTGCTATTGCCCACATATATTTCAGATAAATATAAAAAAAAGAGTTTTTATCTCCAAAATTATTATTATTATTTTATATTGTGTACAACTGAAAATGTTGTTCCTACTCTAAAACTTATCCATGTAATATTTTTTATTTTCGTCGATCTTATCAGTTTTATTTATCGTTACGATTATTGTTGTGTTCGTGTTTATTTTCATTTTTCGTTTTTGTTTATTTCCTCTTCCCCATATATCTGCAATTAGTATGACATTGTCTGAATACATTCAACTTTTTACAGCTGTAAGTTCTAATTTTGATCTGTATATTACGGGACATTTCTAGTTGTTCTATTGTATCCATATTTTCGTAACAAATAAGTAGTAAGTCACTGCCCACATCGTGGATGAGTTACAGCTAGACGTTTCATCATTGGCCATGCCACCATGGGACTAGACGACTAGTGTTTAACCATCTAAGACGCGGAGTGAATGTGAATGAGTGAGTGAATGTGAAAGCCGTAGAACCTTCATATGGTGGCACAGTATGCTGCGGGCTGCAGTGGCGCCACACTTCAAAAGGATTAGAGTAGTGATAGCATAGGGGGTCCGAAGGGTGGGATACACAAAGAAAAAAATGGTTATTTATATTCCAGTCAAATAGACCTTTCAATCAAAATTTTGGAGGAAATACAAGAAAAAATTTGTCTTACAGGCCCGAGGAGTAAAAAACAAATAAAATAAAATGGATAGGTGCTATAAACAAAGTGCTTACAAAAAAATGAAAAGCATGAAATTTTACATAAAAATATTTTGAATTTTTTGCTATTATTATAACAGGGTGATTAGAAGTTAAAGGAAAAATATGTATAACTTTAAAAAATCATAGCGAGCTGAAAATTTAATGAATTTTCTTTTTATTAATTACTCAGAAAAATTAAAACTTTATTTTCAGAAACACTTAAGAGGAAAATTTACATTACAAACTGAAAGACCTGCGGGGCAACGGTAGTTTAGTAGGTATAAAAATTACAACTTTAGGGTGGAGCCTAAATACTACAAAATTACTTCCGAGACTAAACAAAATCCGGATTCATTCATAATTTTAACAATTGCCTGTAGATACGAGGGATACGTATTCCAAACTCTAACGCGCGAAATTAAGAAAAAAGAACCGAAAACACCTAACACGGCTGCCGAGTGAGTCAGAGTTACCTAAATTAGGGGAACCAGAATCGTATTTGTTTTTCTCGGTGCATTGCGAGATATTGTTATAACGCAGTTCGATTTTTAGAGGGTTTTACATTATTTTTATATTTTAATTTAGTGAATAGGTTTAGTTAGATTAAATTACATTTAAGAGTATAGAGTTGTGAAATATAAATACAAATAACGAAAAAATAGACGATTGGTTCGAATAAGGTAATATCAATTAATACAGGGTATTTATTAATTGAGTGCCGATACTTAGAGGTGTGAATCCTTTGGGTGTTAAAGTTTTAAGACAAAAAAAAACTATTTTATCATAAGTTTCTTATCACTCTAGATATTTTTATGAAATTTTGCCCAAAAAAAGTGTTTCCACTCATGGTGGGTTCCTACCAAATTTCAACAAAATATCAAAAGCAGTTTCAATATACTGATTTTTATTTTCTTACCCGAAAAGGGTGCTTTGTACGAAAGTACGTCATAAACCAAATTTGCTCCAAAATAAATAAGGATTTTAAAGATAATTTGGTTTTTAGAAAAAGCAGTGGCGCACCATATTTTTGTTCAAAAATATTCAGTTCAAACCCGGTACGGACGTCACTGGTAAAAATTTAAAAGTCTTTTACGACAAAAGGTGAGATTGAAAGTGAAAGTTTAGGCTGTTATATATATACTATATTTATATATCTAACTTTTATTATTACACTGAATGTGATATGGTTTTTTTGTTTGCCTTTTTTGGATCAACAAAATATTATTTTAATGATTTAAAATAAACTGCCAGTAATAATAATTATCTGTCTTAAACATATGCAAAGTGAAATCATAAAACGACGCATCAAGAAAGCACCAAATTATTAAACTTTTAATTTACGTAAGATGTATTAAAAGTAATTTTAAAAAACCGACTTTAAAATCGTGCAGATGCCATCACCACATCTGAACCAAATTTATATGGGACCACCCCTGAGGTACCCCCTTACTAACGAAAAGCATTATAGAAATCGGACAAGGTGGTAAAGAATTATCGCTAAACATACATAAAAAATGAAAAGTTTGAGGATTTTCCCATTGACCCAATTATTAGATTTTGACCAAATTTTCAAGGAACCATCCCGGAAGTACCCCCTTTCCAGCAAAAAAGAATCATTTAAATCGGACATTGTGTTAAAGAATTATCGCTGAACATACTTAAAAAAAATATATATAGACGAATTGAGAACCTCCTCCTTTTTGAAGTAGGTTAAAAAGGATATAATAATCTATATTATTTGTATTAACTAAAAAACTAATATGTGGAGTTATATACATCTTCTTAAATTAATCTTATATGTAAAAATTTGGCTTCGATTCCTAGAAGAGTACCTAGTTCACTGTGCAGCCAAATTTATATTTATGGTACAGAATTTTTTGAATAAATAAAGTTTTAGGTTTAATTAAACACCAAGTTTTATCAGGAATAACATTTTCTGAAAAAAGTAACATAAAAAGCAGACTTTTTGCGAGCCACTATATATATTATAGAGGACAATCCATATTATTTTAGAAAAATAAATAAAATTTTTGTATAAACACATAAATGTGATTTATCTTTTAGAATATTTTATATGTTTGTCAAAGTTTACTAATTTAAAAAAAAAGAAATATTCTTCAAAATTTTTCTTAAATTTTTTAACACGGTACAAAATACCTTAATCCGTTTATAGTTATCGAAATTAGTAAAGAATTTTAACTCGTTTAAAAAGCGTGCTTTCTCTTTTCATTTTCTATAAAAACTAATAGACCTTTTTGAAATCGGTATTCGGTGACTTTTCTTCTGTTTTATTGCCTTGAAAATGATATGATTTACATAAAAAACAAAAACTGACTTATTATTTTTGTGAAATAAAAATATGTTATTATTTTCACAGTTTTCGACTACTTTTTGTTTCCAAAAAAGAAATACGATGTTCTTCTGTAGATATTAACACATTGTTTAATTGGCTTTTTATTTTTTTTTTTTAATATTCTTTAGTATTTTCATAATTTGGGAAACAGTATAGCATTGAAACTTCTATACCTGAAAAATTGTGAGTACGCTTTTAATTAATTGTCTGTTTTTTATCTCACAATGTCTCGATAAGAAGTTATATAGAAAAAGTTAGTATTCAATATCATCTAGACAAAAAACAAAAACATGTTTAAATGAATATATTAAATAAATTATGAGTATTCTTTAACAGAGATATATTTATTTGTATTATGGAAATGTTTATGTCGACAAACTTATGTTCGATATTTGTATCAATTTGTAAAAATAACTCTTGTATAATGGTAATATTAAATTTAAAGGTTTTAAATAAGGACTTGCAGATATCACAATTCGAATTTTTTTTTATTGGCCATAAAACTTTTTTTGGAATGAAAACATTAGTTTCTGTTTTTCAGTTAAGCTCCATAAATTCATATTTTAATCTGAACGTTACTTAAGCACAGTAAAGTTGCAACAACTAAACAATATAGTGAACTTTTCGAAAAGTTCTAAATGAAAATCAATTTATATTTAAAATTAAATAAGTTAACTAACATTTTTAACCGTTATGAAGTTAATAAAGTTATAAATAACGTCGTTACAAAGATTTATGTTTGAATTTTAAATTTCTTTTGATAATAGTTACTCATCTACGTATTACAATAACAATACCTACATGACTTGGCTTTGACACAAAACCCTGTATAGTAAAACTTCTAATCCGAATCAAAATCTTGAAACTATTATTTGAGGACTTAAAATCGTGGTCCACTAGTTGGTGTAGCCTTTTAAAACATTTGGTTTAATAATTATAATTATATATCATCAATTACCACTGCCACTGGTAAAATCTTAAATTTAAAATAGTGTATTATAATAATAAGACATTAATCATATCTTAAATGGATCGCCTACTACCATGTTTTAGAAATAAATAAAATTTAATTCTTAAATTAATAAAAATATTCAAAATAATATAAGATTCCTTGCGTTATGTTAATAAACATTAAACACAATTTCTCACGAATTATTTAATATTCTGTCCCGTACTTCCATGTCTCTATTGCTTCGCTGTCAACAAGTTCCGGCAAGACATATTGCATATAAAAAATTTTAATTTTATTTTGTATCTTTTCTTCTCAAAAGCTGTCAATATGAGATATTTTCTCCACTTTTATTCCTCCAGAAGTCCAAATGCACAAAAGCACAAAATGCAAAAATCCATTTGTGTTATGTGCAGCTAGCCCTGAATTTGAAAATACCAATAGTGGTTGTCCTTAATGGAATTGTTCTTTTTCCAAAAAGTTATTTCTCTACTGCATATTTCTTCTGCTACAGTCAGCCCT